GGGTTTAGCTAAAACCCTAGTTTTCTAGGACATAGATATTGGTCCAAAAGTCACAATAGTTCAAACTAAACTAACATAGATCTAGGCCTTAGACATCATTTGAACACGTAATGCTCCTAACTTTCCTTCCATGCACGACCTTTTGGGGTTTAAAAGGCCATAATAACACTTTAAAGTTTGCATGGGGTTTCCATGGTCATAAATTTTTCACCTTTATGTCATGAAACCCCTTCTAGACCCCAGATGTGAAAGGTAGATTACTTGGGACGTCCATGTCCCAAGGACTAAGGTTCTTGGACCAAAAACCTCATGACATGACAAGAAGGAGATCTAACAAGCTACTAAGAAAGGTTGAGGCTTTCTTACTAGAAAATGAAGAGGATGAGATGTTGCTTCTGTATCTGCAATCTTCTCCTAGAATCCTCTAGCTTCTTCTTCTTCTTCTAAAAGCTTCAAATCAGACAAAGATCACTCAATAATGGCTCACAAGCTAACACTTAGATCTAGGGTTTTGTGGATTAGGGTTTGGCACTTGGAGGCTGGAAATGAGGCCATAAGGTGGGGATTAAGATGCTTAAATAGGATGCAAAACACCAAAATTAGGGTTTCATCCTGACAGCCCTACTAGTCGAGTCAAGGCATCTCAACTTGTCGAGTAGGCGACTTAAATCCCGCGTCTTATCTCGTTCCTACTCGACGAGTCTAGGGCTCCCAACTCGTCGAGTAGCTTCAAAAATGAATAAATTATAATAAAATGCATACCAAGAATCAGACGTTACACGGTATCAATAAACAATCTGTTCGGCTTAAACCCGAACCAATAGTTAAATTGGATAAGATTAGATCATAAACATTCCAATCCATTTTTTTATGTATGTAACTCTAGGTTTATGTAATATAGTTCTAAGAGTACTATTTTTCTAATTTATTACCAGCGTTTTTCTTTTTCTATTTTGTGTAATAATTCACTTATCAACAATGTTTTAAAAACCGGTTTGAACAGGCCGGTCGAACCAGTTGGACCGGGAACCGGGTAAGGGAGCGGTTCAATTATCACAAGTTTTATGTCTATTTTTGAACTAGAACGAACCAACTAATTTTTACAAAAATCCGGTTGAACATGTTAAATCAAACCGGTTAAAATGAATAAAAACACACGAAATTGAAACATTTTGCATAATAAACTTTGGTGATTTTTTCACATCGATTAAGATTTTTCTGAACAAAAGCACATGATAAATGTTATGATTTTTTTTTTGATGCGTTTGTATTCATTTAAGATTTTATTTTGTTTTAGTATTATATTTTATTTTCTTTTTAATGCACATAGATTGATGTAAACCTTATGATTATGTGTTATTTTAATGTATTTAGATTGATCTACAACTTGTTTTTGTAAACTTTTTAGAAAAGGTCAAAGATTTCATTGATAGGAGTACCGAATTTATACAACAAAATATATAAAATAGGAAACAAACTATTCTAATCTAAGATGCAACAAAATATTATTATATAAATAATATATACAACTATTACACCCCTCAGTGTGAGTTGGAGAAGGACGCAAAAATAGACTGGATTGATAACGAGTGAAAAGCTGGCGAGGCAGGCCTTTGGTAAAGATGTCTACGTATCGGTAGTCCGTCGGTATGTGGAGTACACATACAACACCAATGTGAACCTTTTCTCGTACAAAATGAATGTCAAGCTCCATGTGTTTGGCCCGTTGATGTTGAACTGGATTTTATGATAAGTACACTGCATAAATATTATCGCAATAGATAAATGTGGCTTTGCGAGTAGGCACAAATAATTCCAACAATAGGTTGCGCAACAAACAAGTTTCTGCAACAGCATTAGCGACGCCCCGGTACTCAGCCTTGATGCTAGAACGGGAAATTGTGTGTTGTCGCTTTGAAGACCATGAAACAAGGTTGTCACCCAAAAAAAAAACAATATCCGGATGTTGACTGGCGAGAGTCCGAACCCCCCCCCCCTCCCCCCTCCTTCAGTCGACATCAGAATAGGCAACAAGGTTGTTCGACTTGGAGGGAGAAATGGTGAGATCGTAATGAAGAGTTCCTTTAAGATAACACAAGACACGTTTCAAGAACTGAATATGTGGTTCCCATGGTGCATGCATGAAAAGACAGATTTGTTGCACTGTGTATGTGAGTTCCAACTGGGTAATGGTGAGATACTGAAGCGTGCTGGCCATGCTGCGATAAAGAGAGTCGTCCGGTAAAAGGTTTCCACTCGTTGCACTGAGTTTGGAACTGATATCCACATGAGTAGCTGAAGGTTTTCAGTCGGACATGTGAGCGCGAGAAAGTATGTCATTGGAATAAGTGGCTTGAGAAAGAAATAATCAATTATTCTGGTTGGTGACATTAATGCCGAGAAAGTGGTGAAGCCTGCCAAGATCGAACATAGCAAATTATGTGAATAAAGATTGAATGATCTGATGCAAAAGAGTGGTGTCCGATGTTGTCAGAATAATGTCATCTACATAAAGTAACAAATAATCCATCTTAGAACCATTGTTGTAGACGAACAGTACGCTATCATTAATAGTGCTTCGAAAACCACACTTGGTAATGTATGTAGAAAATTGATCGTACCAAGCGCGGGGTGCCTGTTTCAAACCATATAGAAATTTTTTAAGGAGGCATACATGATTAGGATGGTGTGGATCGGTGAAGCCAGGTGGTTGAAACATTTAAACCGTCTCATGGAGGTCCCTGTGAAGGAAAGCATTCTTCACATGAAGTTGGTGAATCGGCCAACCGCGAGATACGACCAAGCTCAAAATTGTACGTATAGTGGTTGGTTTGACAACCAGGCTAAAAGTCTCGTCACAATCTATTCCAACTTGTTGACTTTTTCCATTAGCAACCGATCGAGTTTTGATACCTTGTTATATAATAAAATGCTTCATTGATAAATAGTGAACCTCATATAAATAGGGATACATAAGAGATCTAATCTAAACCCTAAAGGGCTTGGGCCTAAACCCTAATCACTAGCATATTAGTTGTATATATTATTTATATAATAATATTTTGTAATATCTTACATTAGAATAGTTTTTTTTTTTTTCATGTTTTGTAGTTTTTTGTTGTATATATTCGGTACTCCTATCAATGAAATCTTTGACCTTTTCTAAAGAGTTTACATGGTATCAGAGCTTTAGGTTAAAATCCTACTGCTGATCACAACCCGCTACCGCCGCCCTCCACCTCTGACGACATTCTCTCATAGTCGTCGGAGGTGCCTTCATTATGCTTCATATTCCCTTCGTTTGTTTTTTTTTTCTCCTCCTAAATAATAAAATAGCCGCCGACACCAAACTAGAGCTCTTACATCGACTTCTTCTACTGCCTCATTTGCATATGTCTCCTCGTCGGATGGCTCCTGCCTCTAAGCTTTTGGCTTTCTCCTTAACTTGCCTCTTCTTAAGATCTATTTTCTAATTCATTCAGAATAGGCTTCGTCCGCCGCAGCTCGAACCCTCTTTCTTTCTTACTGCTTTTCTTTGGACTCCTTTACCGCCGACTTGATGATCGTTGCTACCGCCGCTCCTCTCTTCTTATACAAAGGAACCACTGCTTCTTCTTTCTCCTTTTCTGACAAGCAGTTGTTGTTAGCCATCATCTTTATAGCTCTGCCACCGTCGCTGTCGTTGTCTTCATTTATGATATGCTTTTGTTTTTCCAGTTTAATCGTCCCCCTCCCGATCAAACTGCGGGGGGATGTTAGTGATTAGTGTTTAGGCCCAAGCCCTTTAGAGTTTAAATTAGGTCTCTTATGTATCCGTATTTATATGAGGTTTAACCTCACTATTTGTCAATGAAGCATTTTATTATATAACAGTTTTTATGTGTATTTTTGATGTTTGAACTTGTGGATATCAAATTCTAAATTTATGTATGTATATATGTGTAGAAAAATACAAAAACAATGAAATTTATAGAAACCGGTTTACTCGTGGTCAAACCGGTTGAACCGCAAACCGATCACCATACCGGTTTAACTAAAAATCGTTTTTTAAAACATTGCTTATGAATTTATGTGTGCATAGACTGATAAATGTTTTGGTAATAATTTGAGGGTACACATAATACTATGGATCAGTTTTTGACTAAAACCCAAATCAAACGGAGACGCTAAAATCTACCAAAAACTTTTTTTTTTTTTCCACAATATTGGTTTTTTGGTTTTCTTTTTTCAGTTTTCCGGTTTTCCATTTTTTTGTATTTGCATTTTTTTACATTCTTTAATACTACAAATATTTTATTTTAAAATTTTTTACCCAATTATACTAATGCATCCAAATAAAAAGTAAATTTTAATAGCTATAATTGGATAGATTGTTCAAAATATAAGAGTTGAAAGTATAGCACTATAACCGGATAGATTTTTCAATGTACAATGCAAAGAAATATAAAACAATGCTAAAATACAAAAATAAATGATATTATGTTGCTAGTTCTTGTGCATTTGGCTGTACAGGATACACATCTTAAGGTTATGTGTACATATGGGAAACCGGTAAACAAAGATTTTGATGCAAATCATACAATTACTTATCTCAATAAGTAGTTTCATTGTTTCATTGATATAGTTACTTAGGCCTCATTTTTTTTTCCCAGTATGTGTTGTATGGATAACTGACGTTTAAGTTTTTTGAGAAAATAATGTCACACTTGGGAAAATGGAAGTAAAAAATAAATAAAGGAAAACTTGAAAAAAGTTAGAACTTAACGAGGAAAGCCTCATTTCTCGGATATTCTATATTAAGTCGTTATTTCTGTATTAAGTAAACAGGAAACACCTATATATATGACCTAATCTAGTAATTTAGATGAGTGTTTCTGTTTAACTTAATACAGAATAACCGACTTAATAAAGAAAGTTAGGACAACAAGGTTTTCCCCAATAAGTCTTAGATGTTTACAACTTTGCGCTTGTTTACCTTTACTTTCGATTTCTCCAAGTATGTCATGATTATAAAATATTTTTGAAACAACATTTCCCCATACAACATTTCCTCTTTCATTTGGAAACAATTCTAGCCAAATTACATGAGCTATCAAACATGTAGTTCACAAGTAAATGTCTAAAAAATGAGTGAAAATATACATTAAGTCGTCTTTTCTTGTTAGCTCAAAAAGAAATACTCATATATAACTTACAAAATCACTTTATTAGCCCACAAAGGCAAAGGAGCCCGAACAACAATAGGAGAGCCTCTTATCGGATGCTCAAAAGACAAGCTTTCAGCATGAAGTTGATGTCCATCATAAACACTCCCATTCCACTCATAAACACCTTCATATTTCACATCTCCTCTTATGGAAATCCCAAGATATTGACAATGCAACCGAATTTGATGTGTTCTTCCACTTCGAGGATAAGCTCTCACCAAAACCTCAAACTTATTTCCATCAAATTCAATCAAAGATTTCTCTTCAACCACCAAATCTAATTCACTCAAATCCTTACAGGCTTCTTTTCCGTTTACTGATAACACTTCAAATAAAGTTTCCATGTCTTTAATGGAAGATCCACCGGGCAGCAGCCTACCCACGTCCCGGGCAGCATAGACACGCCAAGCTCCAAACTTTGATCGACCATGGCCTGACTTAATGGTGATCTTTTTCCAATTTGGTGCCTGCCCGACACAGAAAGCAATGTAGGTTTTTCTGACCTTATGATCCGTGAAAGCTTTCACCAGTTTTGCAGCTACTTTATGTGATTTGGTGATTAATATGACGCCACTTGTATCACGATCTAGTCTGTTTGCAAGATGGAGCTCATGCTTCTTTGGTTGGGTACCTATGAACGCACACATATCATAATTTCCATCATTAATGTTCTTTCAAGAACTTAGGGTTATTCGGTTTGATCCCAGATCACTAAAATGGTCAAATTTGTAAGAATTCGTATCAAATTCGAAAGCTTAAAAGTAAAATGAAGGAAGGATAACTTGAAACAACTATGAAAAGAAGCTCACCGAGTTCTTCTGGCTCATTTGAAGAATCGTTGAGTAGACTCGGGACAGAAGCTAAAATAGTCTCGCAGTAAACCCCCTGGGGTTTATTCAAGGCGATGAGCCACTCGTCTTCGAAGAGGACATCACTTCTAGAGAGAGAAAAGAGGCTTGATTTAGAAGAAGCTGACATGGCTCTCCTCAGCTCGAGGTCCTTAGATATGGCTGGCAATGACGGGGAGAGTGGCACTGGGTAATTCTCTAAATATTTGGGGTCTTTATCCCAATCGGTTTTCTGGGAATCGCATCGGTGTTGGTCCGCCATGAATAGAGATCGAAAGACGGCGGTGGAATTTGGGGAGATGGAAGGAGGACGGAGGTTGATTGAGGGCAGAGGAAAGCGAAAGAGCATCATGGTTATTGGCTTAAAGCATTCAACATGACACAAGGGGTAAATTGATATTCTTTTAACTAAATGGGAGCTATTTGAAACTAAGGGCCTACATAAAGTATAAACCCTGTTCTTTCATGATTTTGGGGTTTTTGCGAACTTGAAGAAAGCTTCAAATCTGAGGCCAGATCGTTCACAAAAACCACGAATTATGTCATCAAACATACTAAGAAAGGCGTATAATAAAAGATCATCTTCCATTATATCTCGCTACCAGTCAATTTCCAAGTTTTTCCTCTCTTCTTCTAATCCCCAAATTCAATCCACCAATTTCTACTCTTCCATCGATAAACCACAACATCATGCCTCCAAGTTTGAATTTCTATCGAAGAATGCATCTGGGGTTTCTTTAACTTCCAATAAAAGATTGAATTTCTCATGTGGGTGTAGCTTGAACAATACACGGCTGTTGTTCAGTACTCAAGCAGCTGTCCAGCCGTCCACCGCCGATGGACTTACAGTAGACGCCATTGTCGCTAACCAGTGGACGATTCTTGATGAGAGTGAGAGTGACTGGAAGAGTCATGCATCTGCAATTGCTCAATCCATTCGCCTTATCAAGAAACGGTTGCAGGTTTACGTCTCTCTATAAAATTGAATGATAAATGATTAATTACTCTAGATCGAGTAATTTGATTTCGGTTTGGAGTGATATTGTACACTTATGATCAAATTCCCACTTTTGTAATGGTTTATTTTCTTTTGTAACAGTGGGAGAAGTTAAAAGTAAGATTGGAGATGCTATCGTTTCAATTAGAAAAGCCTGATTTATGGGATGATCCTGTTCATGCTGGGAAAATAAGCCGTGAACATGGGTCACTCATGGGTAAAATGAAGTTAGTTAATGGACTTGAGCAAGAATTAATCGAGCATATTGACATGATCAAGCTGGCTCGTGAAGAAGAAGATCATGATTTGGAATCTGTGGGCCCTCACACCCTGTTTCTTTCTCTTCTCATTAAGTGCTGTTTGGAAAAAGAACTTAGGAACTGAAAAGCCTCGTCGTTGTCATGAGTATTGCTATTAACTCATGCTTGTTGTGTCACAGGAATCGGTAAAAGCATTATTGAGGATGAGACAAAGTGTGAAAGAAAAGGAGCTTGAAGCTTTGCTAGCTGGGGAACATGATTCTTGTTCTTGTTATATAGAGGTAAGTTTTGTATATTATGCTTAAATTCAAAAAACTTTGGTTGCATACAAAAAAAAAACGTTCTTGCTTTAGTGGATGGGTATTTTAGATAATAATTTGATAGATCATGTTTTTACCCATTGGTTGTTGTCCTGAAAAAAGTTGTTTCTAAAAGAGAAAGTAAATGAGGATGATATCCTTTGGGTAAAAGGTTAGGAGTTAATGGGCCAAAACCAGAGCCTCTTTTTATTATTTTTTTTTATTAAGTCGTTCTGTCTGTATTAAGTCAAGAAGAAACACTGATATATAGCTGACTGGATATGTTAGGTTCAAGCGGGGGCAGGTGGGACCGAGAGCATGGATTGGGCGGGTATGGTGATGCAAATGTATAAAATGTGGGCTGAACGCCGTGGATATGGAGTTACAGTTGTGGATGAAATGCGTGGTGAGATTGCAGGAATTAAGGTTTAACATGCATCATCTCTCATTTCATCTTTATTTTCTTTTGTCAAACTAGAAACGGAAGAAAAAAATTTAAAAAAAAAAAAAGAAGACACGGATGAGTATCTTTTTGATCCATTGTTCTTTTTTGCATTTTTGCAACAACAATGGCTGTTTATAACTTTTATTTTCTTGAACTTTTTTTTTTTTTTTTGATCAGCGGGCAACAATCAAAGTAGATGGTGAATACGCGTACGGATACGCAAAAGCCGAAGTTGGGGCCCACCGTTTAGTTCGTATCTCACCATTCGATGCCGCCAAGCGCCGCCACACTTCCTTCGCCGCCGTGGCGGTGACACCCATTTTAGGTGACGGATCTCACCATGTTCAGATCAACGAATCAGATCTCAGAATAGAAAGATACCGATCCGGTGGAGCCGGAGGCCAACATGCCAATGTCACAGACAGTGCTGTAAGGATAACTCACATACCTACCGGAATCACCGCCGCCTGCCAAAACGAAAGGTAGAAAATTACGAAATCGCCCCTTTACTCCCCACTCTTTGACCATTGACCGTTGACCAACTTCTTTTAGGTCGCAACACCAGAACAAGGCCTCGGCAATGGCGGTGCTACAATCGCGATTGGATCAACGTGAGATGGCTCGCCAGGCGCAAATGAATTCACAATATACGCAGTCTTTAACGGATAATAGTTGGGGAAATCAAATACGATCTTATGTACTACATGTATGTGAAGTTTATTTTTTATTATGAGAATCATGAGGGCTTTTACGTCTTTTTTCACAAACTAGAGAACGAGAGGGAGTCCCTGCCCCACGCCCCCACCTTTTTGGGTAGGACAAAAGATTGAAAATTATGTCACTTTGACATGAGTCTTAGTCCTAGTTTCAGTCCACAACAAATTTTATACAACCAGTCATGTCATGTCATGTCATGTCCATGAGATTTTAAAAAGTTGACATTTGAATTTTGGGTGTCAGGTATTATTTCGTTATCTTGTTTTTCACTTTTTGCACGTGATCAAAATTTACACTCTACTAGTTAACCTTTTAGGGCTATTTTTCAATGATGAGGGTGAGGAGGGCATTTACATCATTTGCACAGACGAGAGATCGATAGCGAGTCCTTCGTCTTATCTTTTTTGGTTGGACAAAAAATTGCAGTTTCTGTCATATTTATATGCTTCAATCCGGTCAATGTTTGTCAAATGGAGTACAACCTGGCGTTAAAGAGTCGACATTTGATAGTTGAATCTTGAATGTTGGATATTACTTGTTTATATTATTTCACACTTCTTTCATGTGATCACAATTTGCAGCCTTATCGAATGGTGAAGGATCTTCGGACGAATTTTGAGGTTTCTGACACTGATTCAGTACTTGAAGGTGAAATTGATGACTTCATCTTGAGCTTTCTAACAGACTACATGGATAAAGAAAACGAGTGAGGTATAAGAAAAACATGTTCAAGCTTCACATATATCATAAATGGTGGCCAGCCTAGTGACCATTTGAAGAAATGGGGAAGCTTCCATTGCTACTTATGGTAGGAGATATGGTTGCTTCTCATGGCCAAAGTTGGTAATTGATTTGACTCAAGTCAAATGGTGCTTGCCTTTTAGGTAGCCAAATTTATTAATGTAATTTCATAATTTAGCAAAGGATTTGCTAGATTATAATACACATAGAAATTTCCATCCTTTTTTATTTATCTACATTATGTAGCCAAAAAAAAAAGATTATTAGGTTGGGGGTGTTATCTATCTTTTGTACTTGTTCTTCCATATCATGTTGTCCAAAAGACGGCGATGTATGATTGTTCTCTCCATATTTGCAGGAATACTGGGTTAAATTGCATTTGATATGGACATTGAAGCTATTGTTGCCAAAATATTGGGCTAAAATTTGTTTTGAAGAGATCAAATTGAGGTGGATCTTGTGAAATCGTATCTTTTTCCTTGTCGCAGCTTGAACTCATTTTTTTTTTTTTTTTGGTAACATTGTCGTGTCTTCGATCTTGTGGTGATGGAAACATTTTTAAGTGAAAATAATGGCACAGAAATGAAGAGTATAGAAGATTGTGGAAAATATCGGTGTGAAAATGAAGAAGATATAAAAGCTATTTATACTTGTCTTAAAAAACATCCGAAAACTAGTTGCTGGAGACGGAGAGAAGCAATCGTCACATTTCTTTGGCTTAGACATATTAAGGAGGTTAGGGATGTCAAAAGGTCCCGTAGGGTTTTATCCCGTTTGGGAGATTTTTAAAAAAAAAAATTGAGGGTGGGGGCAAGGTTAACCTTCGTTTTAATTTCGGGGTGGAGGCGGGGGTAGGTAATCCCGTCCCGAAATCCCCATGGGGATCCTGTTAATAAATTACACATATATTTACATATATTAATTATATAAATATAATAAACAATAATATGATTTTGAGTTTTCAAAATTCATCAAAAAACATGTTTTTAAGTTGTTAGTATAATTTTTTAAAATGACATAATTTTTTTATTTTTAACATATAAATTCTGCTATAAATAATTATTTGTTACCTAAAAAATAGTTTATTTTAGCCAAAATAACAACTTCTTTTAATCTAAAAAAAAAGTAGCCCAAAATCAATCGGGGGTGGGGGAACGGGGCGGGGGTAATAAAGGGGATTCGGGGGCGGGGGCGGGGGAACACGGAAATTTCGGGGGCGGGGGCGAGAGATGCACTCCCTGCCCCGTTTGCCTCAGTTGACATCCCTAGAGGAGGTATGCATTTGGCTAGTAGTGCATGGGTGGGGCGGTGTACCCATTGATACCGGACTGCCTGTGTGTGAGCGTGTGCGTGTATATATATATATATATATATATATATTTGTGTGTGTATCTATGTACATACATATATATACATAAATACATTGTAACACCTTAATTTTTATTTAAAACAATAATTACTGAATATAAACTTTCATAAAACTTAAACTAATATTTCAATAAATAATAATTTTTTAAATATGATATAGATTTCTTAAACATAAATAGCAAAAATCTTTAATTAAAATAGTTCGAAAGGTCCTTAAAAGATTCATGGGAGAGCACAATGGGTTGCTCTCGATGGGTGTAATGTCAGATTCTTTCTCCGAAGTTCTGAAAATGTGTTAAACATCAACAGATAAGCAGAACTTAGTGCGCACACATACAATCATATGAAAACATAAGCACATAACAAGTAGTATATGTTGGAAAAAGTGTACAAGGTCATTAACTATGATAATATTTCTAATAAAATATCTAAATTGAGTAGAATAAATAAAAGATAAATTTATTTATTATTTATTATGGTTAACAATTAATTGGATGTGATACCATTGGAGGGATTTTGGTTAGGGTCCTCTCAACCAAGCAACTTCTTGGAGGATAAGATGTGAAGCATGGAGATCAATGGCTACATAAGAGATATGTTTTTATTCTTTATGTTTTATGTTTTCATATGGTAGCTATAATTAGTATGAAGCCATAGATCCTAGGGTACATTTACACTTAGATATATCATACTTTGATTTTTTCTCTACTTAGTTTAAGTATATTTGATGTATAGAAAACACAATAATAGTATCAGAGTCATTGGTTCATAATTACTAGCACCCTTAATCCATAATTTCTATAAATGCTTGTTTGAAATTGAAAATTAGAAGAAAAATTGAAAATTAAAGAGACCTAATCGTAGCTTCTGGTCACGACGTAAGCCGCCTGAATTAGTGTTTCATTGTATATTTTAAAATTTTAAAATTTGAAGATTTATGATATGAATTATTAACAAATTTAAATTGTATAAAATCTGGAAAATAATAAATACTATTTAATAGAGATTTAAATTGAATATTTATTTATTATTATTTAATGATGATTTAAATTAGAATATTTAATATTATTTATAATTTAGATTTATAAATTTGAATATTAACCCATTATGATTTGTTAATTATTACATTGTGCCATCACAATTAATTTGAATTAATAATAGAAAACTAAAATTAAAATGTTTTAAATTGACCCATATATATATATATATATATATATATATATATATATATATATATATATATATATATATATATATATATATTAGAATTGTATATTATATGTATAAGAAAGTTACAACATCCGTCATCGTATATATAAATATTGACATTGTTAATCTTACCATGACTAGGTTCACCCATTCTGATGTAGGGGTTTAAGGTGGTCTTTTTGATTCCTAACGAGGTCGGTTTTTAATATGCTTCACGCTTACCACCCTCACCGACCTATTGCATTTTCAGAATAGAGTTACCGAAATGGTTTGATAGTGATAATGGTCAATCTAAAAGTATTATCAAAACAAGTATAAAACAAAATCTCATTTTATTAATAGAATGTAAATCTTATATTATCCATAAAAGCTGTAGGTTCTCTTTGTATTCTGTTGATGGAGTTCGTGTGGTTAACCGATGTATCAATCTAAAATATAGTTGAGAATGATGTGGAATTCACGAATCTCAAGCGTAACTTAAGCCAGGGACCATGCGATTTTGAATGTTTAATTCGCAATCTATTTAATGTGAATATTATGTTATCCATAAAATTTGCACATTTTCTCCATAACTTGTTGATGGAGCTCATGTGGTTAACCGATATGTCAAGTTAAGAATATAAATAGAGAACAATGTGGAACTTGCGGATCTCAAGTGTAACTTGAGCCAGGGACCACACAATTTTGTATGGATGATTCCTCAACTGTTCAGTGATCCGTGGCGACCCCATCATTGAATCCGAGATAAACATAATCCGAGATTAACATGCCATTGATAGTAAATGAATCTCAAAGATCTAGGAATTTCATGGTGATCGAAATTGGTAAAGGGCTTTTCCTACCAAAATAACTTTATGGTGTGTTTACGACATCTCTTTACACACCGTTAAGCCGTATATGGATCCTAGCCTTCTTAAATAATTTTATTTAGGGTAATTATTTTCTAAGGATAAGTAAAACAAATTATAGAGGAAATTGATATTGAACGATGTCTATAATCGTATCCACTAAAATCTATTGCTTCAAAACCTCTTAAAAGATTAACTATTAGGATGATCAATCTTGTCTAAATTCTTAGTTTGGGAATAGTTCTCATAAACAAAAAGAAAGATCATGCCTTTGATAAAGCGCTTCCTAAGGTTCCTCCAAACACGGCATCCTAATCCATCAGAAAGAGCAGTTATCAAGTGTACATTGTAAACTGACATATTGAAGTAAAATGGAATTTCCTTGAGTTAGAAGTTGACTAGGGTTAGTAAACTAGTTGACAAATACATATAATTAGTTGATTCTGATTTTGATATGAATAACTTGGAATGTCAATGGAGGAGTTTTGTAGCCTTTTGAGGTTTCCTTTTGGAACTAACATAGCCAATCATAGAAATTCAAACTTCAAAACACTCCCATATATTTACTATCATGAATAGAAATGTAAAGAAGAAGAAAGACACTTGCCCATGGGTTAAAGGGTGATTAGTGTTGGTATACCTAATCTAGGCCTAAATGTCAAATACAAAGGAAGGCTTATTCTAAGATATCTTCTGATGGCTATTCGTTTCCATAACAAGAAAAGGATAAGAAAGTATACATGCCCAAAATATATATTTGAGGTGAAAGGACTGAATCATAGAGAAGGTAAATTGATCATGGATTACGAGCCCATGCTACTATCCATAGGATCGGAAGACAACTTGTTCTCCCTAGTGTTTAATCTTCAATTAGATATATTAATTAATAATACCACTGGAAATAACTTCTAATCCTTTAAGTATTTTGTTGAGGATTAAGTACCGAAATTTGAAAGAATGTTTAGTGACTAAAATGAAGTAAGGGGACTAAAACATGGAGAAGATAACTTTGGTGATGAATGCCAAGCCCTTGCTATTGTTCATAGGATCAAAAGACAACTATTTTCCTAAATGTTTAGTTTATGGTCATATAATTGAAATTGTTTATACTATGTTTCATGAGATAGTTCCGACTTATTTAGATGTAGAACATTCTAACATGTTAAAAGAAAGTCATGAAATATATGAAGCAAGTATAGTAACAATAGTTCAAAGTTGATTCAAATATTTGAATAAGATGTATTATTGTGTGAATATTTGTTGAAGTTAGTCTAACTAATGGATAGTTTAGATGTAGAACATTCTAACATGTTAAAAGAAAGTCATGAAATATATAAAGCAAGTATAGTAACAATAGTTCAAAGTTGATTCAAATATTTGAATAAGATGTATTATTGTGTGAATATTTGTTGAAGTTAGTCTAACTAATGGATCGTTTAGATTTACCATAATAAGTACTTATTCAAATACATCCAAAAGGTTTGGGTGAAATGTATAATAGTCTTGGATACATAAATGAGAAGCGCATTACCAAGTATCCAGTTGGATCAGATTCTGAAATCATTTGATCACAAGTCTTATGATTAATGCAAATATTGTTTATCAAGATAGATGATGAATACATCACTAGGTGATGTGCATATCTGTTGCAATGAGTGTGTACTAATAGACTGTTCAGATTAAACCATGATACATGGTAAGAGCGGCTTCATATGAACATGAGTCTGGAACCTTTCAAGTATTTAGATCTCCCATAAAACGAAGCTGTGAATCGACTGGGCAATAGGATGAGATAGGATAGTGATCATCTCATTGAAAACTTTGTTGGTCATCTAAGGAAATGTGAAAGAGTCTCACAAGTTGTTTCCACAAGAACACTACCACTAGGAGTGTTAGTTGGATAAAGAAACAAATAATTCATTGATTTTGTACTAGATGAATCGTACTATATTTACTAATGTAACACTCCAAAAATAAAGGAAATTACAAATTTTCAAAATCAACCATTAACCAATATTGTTTAAAAAAAGAGTCATTGTTTTAAAAGCATTATTTCAAAATCAGAGTTTTCCTCAAGACCTAGTGACATAAAACTGGAAGATGTGCACAATCACGCCTTTATTTTCCCACAATCCTCAGAAGTACCTGAAACAATAAACTAAAACTGTAAGCCAATGCTTAGTGAGTTCCTTCAAAGTA